GGGAAAGTATTTATTAAAGAACATAATTTTAGCTATGAATGGGAGAGTTTCATGCAATACATAATGTGGTCATTGACAAATGGTCATATTTTGAAGCATTATCACTGCTTAAAGAATTAGGGTACATAGACAGTGATAAGCTATTGTAGAAACTTAAGAATGAGAATTTAGATAAAGATCTTAAGCAAATTACATGGGACACTTATGTGATGGAGATGGGTAATTGTGCATTTCATAATGGAGCTGAAGTAGATCTTTATATTGAGCATGATAAGGTTTCAAAACCTACATTAATTGAGGAAGTTACTCATCAAATAGAAGATAGGTAAGAGGTTGTGGATGAAGGTGTGTTAAATAAGAGTGGAGGTAGTGATGATGAGCGTGACAGAGTGTAAAAAATATTCATTTTAATGACAATGAGGAAGAATGGATTTTAGGCATTGATATAGGTTTAGTGATGAAGTAGTACAAAATGATGATCCAATCATAGAGAATGTATGGGATACACAAGTTAATGAGATAGTTCAATCATTTAATGCAAAAAATATAGAGATATAAAATAAAGACCACTACAGGTAGAAGACATAGATCATCAGCAATTAAGAAGAAAAATAAGAAGATATCAATACATAATGAGTGTGACATTAAAGTTGGTGTTGAGAATGTAATTGATGCATAATTCAAATTTAAATAGTCTATCGAAACCTAAATATACCTATATAAAGGAAGAAATGTTTAGAGATTTTAAGTTTAAGGTTGGGATAGAATTATGTTCTATAAAAGAATTCAAAGAGTTTAATTTTTGAAATTGAATAAGAGAGAAATTGAATTTATAAAAAAATGATTATATTAGGATAAGAGTAATCTACAAGTCTCATTGTGGGTTTATTAATTTTGTGAGTAAGTGTTGAGAATAGTCACACATATAGGTTAAAGACGTTAGTTGGCAAGTACACATGTGAAAGAGTGTTTCAAAATGAAAATAAGAATTCAAGATGAATGACTAAACAAGTTAAAGATAAAATTAGGTAAAAGAGACACCTTAAGTTAAGAGAGATTATGGATGAAATTAAAAAAAAAAATTACTCAGTTGACATTACTTCATGGAGAGTCTTTAGGACAAAATAACTTGCCAAGGAATTTGTGGAAAGGGATGCATGTAAGCAGTATACTCTCTTATGGAATTATAATGCAAAGCTAAGAAAATCTAATCATAGAAAAAGATGTAAGTTACAATTGGTAACTCTAGTCCCTACACTAAAACCTAGGTTTGAAAGCTACTACATATGTCTTGAAGGTTGCAATAGATGTTTTATTGAGGATTATAGACCATTTATTAAGGTAAACAATTGTCACCTAAAGACAAAATATAGGATCAATCACTTATAGCAGTTGAGAGGGATCTAAATGATCAATATTTTTCTTTAACATTTGCTATGATGGAGACCAAAACTAAGAAAAGTTAGAAGTAATTTCTTAATTTAATATTGGAGGATATAAGCAATACAAGGCCAATAGATGGATTTTCATCTCATATCAACAAAAGGTAAAACTTAAAATTTGTCCTATTTTAATTTAAAGAATAAAATTTTAATTTTTATAGTATATTAATGATATGATTTCCTATATGGTAGAGATTGATACCAACATTTAAAGAGTTGTTAGAAGGTCTTAAACATAAGTTTTACCTCAAACACCTTTATAACAACTTTAAAAAGAGGTATAATGGAGGAATATTTCTTAAAGACTTGATGATTAGAGTTACCAATAAAAACAATCAACAAGAAGACCTATGAATGGCTTTAGTAGGTTCCTAAATCTAGCTGGTGCAAACATGCATTTAGTTTCTATTCTAGGTGTGATGTATTGATGAACAACATTAGTGAAACATTTAATAATACAATATTTTTAGTTTGGAATAAACCTATCTTTATCATGCTAGAATATTAAGACATACCTTATAACTAGGTTTACAACACTTTGGAATAAATTGAAAACATATCTAGCCACTGTCATGTCTAAATCAAGAAAAAGACTTAACAAGAGATATAAAAAAAAAAGGGTGAGAATTAGTTTGTTATTTAAGTTGTAGAACATAAATTTAAGTTATTCATATTTCATTGATGATAAGTTTATTGTTGATTTATGTATGAATTCTTTAATGTAACTTTTGGGAGTTAATTACCATAAGGTGTAAGTATCCCATAGTTGTCGTCACTTTAAAAGATGATGACACTTAATGTATGTTTATCAGTATTATAAGAGATAATCATATGAAAGATTATATAGGCAATGTATCAATTTAATTAATGGTAAAACTAATTGACATTATAAGCTAAAAGTATTATTTTAAAATAAATTATATTTTTAAATTATTTATTTTTATTAAATATTTATTATTTTTTGTGCATATTATTTGCAATTATAGAATTAATTCAAAATATATTTTTTAAATTTATTGTTTAAAGATATATATATATATATATATATATATATATATATATATATAATCTACATAATGTAAAATGATATTTTTAATTTTATCAATTTTCTATTTTTTAAGTTGAATTTAATAGTTTAAAATGGATTTGTTTTAATTTTGAACACCGCTGGTTTGACTAGCCAAATAACAGGGGTTCTTAACGGAATGTTTGGAACTTGGAGCATTTTTAGCGTGTCACACGAGTGGCAAAGTGGGAGTTGTATTTTAATAATTTCGAAGATTAACTTTAAATATGAAAACTTAAATTTAGAGATTAATTTAATTTTAAAATATTATTTTTATAAATATAGAATTCTAATTTTAAAAATTTATTTTTAGAAATTATTAGTTATTTCATGAATTAACTTTTGGAAGTGTGAAAACATAAATTTAGAAATTAATTTAATTTTAAAAATGCATTTTCGAAAGTGCAGAACTGGTAGTATAAAAATTTAATTTTTAGAAGCATTGAATTCTAATTTCAAAAACTTATTTAAGAAAAAGTGTTAAATTCACATTATGATAAAGACTGAAAAAGACATATTTTTATCGATAAATCAATTTTTTTAATAATATATTCAATATAATTGATATATATATATAGAAAGAGTAACGATGTTTAGAACACATTTAAATAAAATGATGATAAAAGAATAACAAAGCTCAGAGTAATAGAGACGAAAAACAATATGCAATAAAGACAAAGAGTGAATATATATAAAAGATATGAAACAAAATAGAAAAAAATAAAAGGTTGTTTAATTTCAGAAAATAGTTTTATATTTTTATTTAATAATTTAAATTATTGTTAGAGATATTTTAGAAAAAAAATTATAAGAAATTATTACAGTGTAGAAAAAGAAACGAAAGTGAAAAAGTAATATTTTCAGCAAGTCACATCCGGTGACAAAATTAGACTCAAACCCAAACATGCTAGTATTAAGATGGGATTATGTTTTTCATGACTTATTTTTTGTTATTTATATTCCTTTTTTACTGTCACTTTTGAAATTTAATTTTTAAAAATGTGTTTAATATAAATTAACTTTTGAAAGTTATTTATTAATCATTCAAGAATTAAATTTTTAGAATTTATTTTATATCTTCAAATATTAAATTTTAGAACTGATTTGCTAATCATTTCTATAGTTTAGATTTTGAAGGTATTAAACATACTTTTAGAAACTAAATTTTGAAAGTTAGAAAAAAAAATAGGTGGGATGAATAAAAAAAAATGGGTAGGGAAAATGACAATACCCGACCTTGTATTGTTTGCTGTCATCCAAAAGCAGATATGAATTTGTGACCAAGGTGTTGGTAGAATTAATTCAAACACAAAAATTGACAACAATTGTAGAAATAAATTACAATTTAGTTTGGAGTTCTTGAATACAATATCAAATTTGATAAAGGATTTCAAGTGAATTTGAGGATTTACTTTAATTTTACTAATGCTATGTAAACAAATTTTTTTTTTCTAAATAACAAATTTTCCTTTGCATTTTTTCCCCTTTACTCCAATTGCTTTTTATATTTTTCTCAACAAACTAATTATTTTAGTAACTAGCTTATTTTCTATACCACCTAAAATATGAAACTAATTGGTTATATGGACCTAAGCATGCTTATGATAGATAATAGAGAGATTTCAATCTTTTAATACTTAAACTACTTAAAGCCTTCACAATCAATGCAATAATATTGGTTCTAGTATTTACTTTCATCGCTTATAAAAGATTGTCACTTAATTTTAACTAGTAATATGTAACAAGTGCAGCTTTAATAGAAATTTAATGGAACAGTCAATGAGCTCAACCACGTGTTAGTTATTTTGGACACTAAGCTTTTTCTCATTTTTTGTTGCAAAGGATTGACAACCACGTGTCCATCTCCAGCTATCTTAATTTATGCTTTGTTTACCCTTAGATAATAGAATTGGAAGGTACATTAATGGATGATGCAGTTTCATTTGGTTTGGAAAACGAAACTAAAAACTAGTATGAACCAAAAAATAAAATGTGATTTTTATTTAATTTTTAATTTTTTAAATCATTTTAGTAGTTTAAAACAGTTTAGATTAAAATTTAAACACCCTTAATTCCAAGGTTTGAAGGTGATTTTTCGTGGCATTGAGGAACAAAGCCAATCGGCAGTCAATATTCACCACAGCAACCTTTTGGCATAGTCTACATAATTTTTCAACAATGGGTACGAATTCAGTGGTGATGAAGTCACAGAGATCAAGATTTATGATCTAATCGGGCTAATCCAGATTATTTAAAGGTAGTAATCTTAAACTTGTCCATCTCATTGTTCGACTCCACAAGGCATTGAAGCATAAAAACAGATCCTCTGCAGCCTTGCAACTCTTTCTGGCAAAAAAATTTGATATGTGATTGATTAACTATAAAATATTATAATATTTTATAACCTTTGGATAAAAATTTAAAGGTTAAGATTTTGCTGTAAAGGGCTGCACCACGGGAGAGGATCCAAGTGCATTGAAATATACGTTGTGAAGGATCACCCTTTCATTGAAGGTGTATAAAAAATGAAACCAGTAGCAAGAATCCTTCTAACCCCATCTTCTTGTTAGTGGGGCACTCAGATGGGATCCTCTTGCATTTGCTTCTCTACAATCACATTCATAGAGCCTTGAGCTGAACCGACTCGTGATTCAAACTCCACTTGCTCATCTTCCACAACTTCCTTCAACATGAATGGTGCAACCTCAAGGCATTGAACCTCCACAGAGTTTGTACTCTATTCATTATGATCTTGTGCCATCTCTATTTCCTTCATAAGCAGATGGAGATGAAGAGGAATGCTCTGGAAGAAAATCAAAGAGAGGAAAAGGCAATGCTAGTTTTGACATTAGCATAAAGATGTTGCAGCAATTCAGGGTCAATCACAAGATTCAACTCTCTCAGACCTTGTGTTTCCTACACCTTGTCTTCAACCATCTCTTCCTTCTCACTGTCTTCAACGAATTCAAAGCTCTACTCAATTTCATTTTCTATGGGGTAATTAATACTCTCTTAATCATATACAACTTTGATATCCATATCAGAACTTGGATATAGGGTGCAAGTGACCCTAACTTGGTGAGGCCAAAAATCACATAACTCAAAGCAAAGGAATGTTCCATAGAAAATCATTGTTTATTGAACGAATAAGATGCAGTAAAGTGGAGTGCATGTATTTATGTAAATGAGAGCAAAACTACAAAATCAACTACAAACACAAAGAATTACAATACCAACACATCAAACTCACACAACTAACAAACTACTCTGCCACCTGTATTTTAACTGTTTGGGTTCAGATCTCAATGCTGATCTCTATTGATTATTATCAGTTATAATTTTATAATTAATAAGTATACCTAGATGGCGCATCATCCCCCGCATAATTGGAAAGTTAGAAAGCTCAATTTTAATGTTCAATGGAAGTACTGAAGAATTTTATTGCTGTATCAAACTGTTTTATCTACCAGCATGGCAGCATCAGTGCGTCACGTCTTAATATTAAACCTGAATGTTCCAAAACAATAGCATTTTCGTATTGCCTATGGTCAAACTTGGGTGGATGCAAATTGGAATTTTTTTTTCTATACTCTGATGGGCACCTTTCCAAAGGATAACAGAAAGAAAATGAATTTGGACCGCATGACAATGTCATATTATGAAAGAGAAATACACAAAACAATTCTAATAAGAACACACCATTATTTTATATAGGGCCTATTAATTTAATGTCATTCTCGTATTGTCAAGTTCCATACTAACATAAAAGGATCCTTATCCAAAAAGAAAGAGCAAAATTTCACTCCTAGCTGAAATGTCTGCATTGGAGAGGACAACATTCCTTTTTTCATCACTGAAAGTATATTTTACCATAAAATTAAGGTTAGAACTAAAGTTTCTCTTCACTAAGTAGGAAGATTATGCATTTAATTAGACCATGCAACAGACACGAAGACAGAACGTGCATTACAAGCAATGCAAGAGGCCTGCATAGTGGCATTATCATTGCAGCAACCATAATTTCTATTAAATAATTCATTGATCAGCGGATCATAGTGCATGATTACAACTTTTTAGACGATCCAACTCTCTCAAATGATTTGCATGATTAAGTTAGTCACTGATTTCTTCTTTATGAGTCAACTTTCATATAGGCCAAACGACTCAACATCACCATATATACAAAGCTTTGCAGCTCATATGATGATTATTATTCAAGCAGTTAGCAAACCTTCATGATTATTGAACATCAATGATGTACTGTATTTGTATTTTAAACATTAAGTATACTACTTTTATTTTTTACTCTTTTTTATACTTGACTATCAAGCTGTAAATACACATTGACGTGTCTGATGGTTTATAGACAATTCTAGAACAGCAAAGTACCTGAAGCTGTCTGTAAAATTTAATAGGCAATTTGAAATAACATGACAGCAGATAGAAAGATCTAACATCGAGAAAGCCTATCATATGTTGGAGGAAGAGAAGGGCAGTACTCATTCATGTTGGCATAAGGCTCCAAGGTGTTATAGCCAGGCAGTTCCATCCTATACTCACCAAGAATCTGACAGAATGGAAGCTGGTCATTCTCATTGTTGCACCAACTTGGTAGGTGTGTTTGGTTGTCTTCAAAAATTCTGAGCATGTATGCATCACGTATCTGCAAACAATACGACATGCATTAGAAAAAGTGATTATAATTCTGAAGGTTCACACAATCAGAGACATCATGACTTACAGTGAACTCAGTTACTTGAATGGAGCTAGAAATGGGACCAAAAATTCCAGCCTTTTTATACATTGAAAGGATAAAGGCAACACAAGTTGTCGACTTCCCATCACTGTACACCCATTCATCTTGTTCTGGAATGGTGAGTAATTGATCGAAAGGTATCCCACGCTTCTCAGTTTCTACTATAATATCATGCAAATCCAAACCCTGAATAAATGCATAAAAAAATCAGAGATCCCATTACTCATGAAAAAAAAGGAACCAGATAATATTTCAGCAAAATATGCCATGGTAGTTCCTGCCATCCTGATATGTAAGCTTGATAAGTTGATATTTCAGTGACATTTTCCCATGAGAAACTATTTAAACATTCAATTATAACTATGAGCAACAGACAAAGTCACAAAATGTTCAATCTGTGCACACGGATGTACAAGTACAATTCACATAATACCAAATCTGAAAGGCTAATGAACTTGAAAGATTTCACCCTTTACCAAAATTTTCCATGATAAAACAGCCTCAATAATTTTGCAAATAAGTCATCAGAACAATTTTTCATTCAATATACAAAATGAAGTCCAGACCTAAACTAAAAGGCATGTAGGACTTCCATCTTGAATCTTTTGAAATTATTTAGCAACAGAAACAAACTTTGAAGGTCATTGGCATACCTAAATCACAGAATAATTCCATTTCTGGTTTTGACAGAGTTGTTACCATAAAGTAAAAGGAATTAATGAAAGACTACACTTTGGTTCATTTGATTGGAACAGAACTGTCGGATTTTTAAGGAGAATGTTTTTTTTTTTTTTGGAGGATTACTTGTCCTCCCTTCTCTTCATAAATTTTCCAGTCTTAAACAATTCATTCTTTTATTTAGGAAAATAAAAGAAATAAAAAAGACCACATATATTTATAGCAAATGGATACTCTTCATCCCACCTAAAAGGTTTAAGCCAGTGCCAAGACTTACCTCAGTCCCTAACCGCTTATTCAATGCTTCATTCCACATATTTGCAGAATAAGCTGGCTGCAATCTAGTCCACATAGACATGACAGAAATTACCTGCACAGAGAGAGAACTAGACATTCAGAATCAGACTTCAATTGGAGTTGAGATCAGAATCTACATGCTTAAGAATAAAAACACATTTAAATTTTATGCTTCCTTTGCAATTGAAAGACACCGGCAGAGGTAGGGTAGACATCTTGTTGCTTCATGCGCAGCTCGGTTCAGCATTGCACAAATGCAGGGAACCAAGAACCCTTTCCATACTATTAGAAAAAGAAAACGTATATATCACCATCAAACCCATAAGTGTAACATCACCAAAATCCTTGATGCCAACATCGTTCTTCCATCCCGTTGTCATCTTAACTTTACATCCCCAACAATACATTGCTTTCTAAAGCCAAAAGCACTAACTATTTCTTTCCTAGACTGTTTCCCATTTAAGAATAAAATTATCTTTCAGCAATCAGTTCTAACTTAAACCATTTCTGCAGGAAAAACAGCATGTTGTTCACACAATCACTGGTTCAATTGTATACTTACGAATCTTGACACATTTAACTAATAAGTAATAAGGAAAAGTTTACTACCAAGTGAGCATCAAGAGGTGGAGGATAGTTGTCAGCTACAGTATCAATCCAACTGAATATCATATTATGATAACCATAAGGCTTGCCAGACATGCTCCGCGCATACTCCCACGCTGCAGTGGAGTTAAATTTCGCTCGTATATCCGGATGAAGGGGAAGCAACGCAATCTGCGGATTGGAACTATCTTCAAGAGCCAATTCCCACCACTCTTCCCACGGAATCACCCCTATTATTTCTTCACCCTGCACAAAGACACATTACAGCACCATGATCAATTAAAATATACAACACGAACAATGCTAGAAAAAACAAATTATATCCAAAACCTCATCATGTTTTACACCTTTTCATTCTCGTGTCCCGATTCCCCAACCCACAAATTTCCCAATTCATCCTTCAAACAGACCGCAGTGTGACCGGCAAATGAACCAGTCACCCACTTCTCCAGCGTCTCAAATCCACCCCACCGGCCACGGATCTTCGACACGGCTAAAAAGTCCCCAGTATGAACCTCTGCAGGATCAATGGTCGCACGCCATGGCCCCTTGCGTTTCTCAAACGTAGCCCCCATGTGCTTCTTCAAAAACTCCAGGTTCGCTTTCTGACCCCATGCAGTGTTAGAGAACAACGGCAAAACATCAATGAGAGAAAGCAACGTTCCCAACATCCCCGACGGCATTAGAAACACGGAAACGCCATGCTGCTTCACCTGTTAAACAACCAACAAATCAAATTAAAACCTCACAACAACAACAACAACTTTTGAACAGAATAAAGAACTAAAACTAAAACAAAAATTACATATTCTAACTCCGCAGGGTCTTCCCACGAGTCAAAGTTCAAAGTATGCTCCCGCGAAGAGAAGTAGTAGTCCCAGGTAACCCTGTAGGGTGTTGCGAAAACATAGAGATCCATGCATGTCCAGCTATGTGCAGCCTCTGTCTGCAAAATAACAGTTTTTTTTACCACACAGTTACAGCAATAAAAGTTGACGAATTTGGCAGCTTAAAATTGGAAAACCTTGAGATAGAGAATGGCACCCTGGGAAGAGGGGGTGAAGTGAAGAGTGGCTGTGTTGCGATGGAAGCAAGCGCCTTTCCAGTGGATGGAAGCGTTGGTGGGAGTGAGGGAGCCAACGAAATAAGGGAGCAAGTCCACGGCGCTGTGGAGGTTATTCAGGACGGGCCACGATATGCCACGTGGCAGCACGGGGAGGGCGTCGTTTAGTCTAAAGGGCACCTTCAGAGCGTGTGCCGGGGTGAAACGACACCCCAACAACGCGATGATCCATGCGGCGAGGACGTGACGGAGGGCGCGAGGCATGAATCTATGGGTGGCTGTTAGGGCTTTGGGGATTCAGAATCGCTTGGGGATGGCTGACAGAAGGGAATGAGAATTGGGAATTATGCTTCGAAGGTGGGACCCATGGGACACGTGGCGGAGCAGGGGTGATGGTGAAGTGAAAGTCTACGTTGACTCCAAACTTGTCGCAACAACAAGTGACTAATTTCATTCTTTCATAATTAATTCATGTTTTGCTTCATTATTTTATGTCAAAAAAAAATTTTCTTTTCAATAATACTGTATTTAACGTGAACATGTAAGGATATATTTATTTTTAATTTTTAAATTATTTATTTCTATTTATTTTTTAAAAATATTTTTTTTTTACTTATTTATCTATATAAGTTAAAGACAATATTAATTACTACTATTCTTTTACTAATTTTTTTCACATAAAATATTCATATTATTTAAGTAATTTAAGAGTTAAAACAAATTTTATTAATAAATTAAAATTTTAGCAAATAATTTTAATAAAATTATCAGATCTTTAGTTTAAGTAGTTCTTATAAATTTTACATAAATAAATAAAAATAAAAATAATAAATTAAAGTTACATTATACCTACATTAAAATAACTGTACATTTAATTAATATTTCTTCTCATATTGTGTATATATTAGACATTTATTTTTATATAATTACCTAATATTTAGTGCAGTATCCAAATTATTAAAATAAAATAATTTTACATAATATTTTTAATATATTATGTGAATAATTTTAAAATTAAAAATATTAGTTATTAATGGTAAATATTTTATAATATTAAATAGAAACACTTAAAAGATATTTAAAAAAATAAAAATTATAAATTATAAATTAAATAATTAATATGATAAAAAAAAAACACTTGGTATTGTATAAAAGAGAATAACTCTTAAAAATATCATGGTTTGAAGTCCTCCTAAAAATATTTTCGTTTAAGAATAAAAACTAAAATTTAATAAGCAAGGTATATTTAATTAATATTTAAATTTAAAAATTATACTTTAGTAACTTGTTTATAACTTTGTTATGTATTGACATGTATAAGTATAAATAATTCTCAAATTTATAATTTAGTTAAGTAATTAAAAATAATTTAAATATGAACATCTAAAAATTTAAATTAGGTAAAAAAATTATTTTATCATGGACACTTATAGAATTTTTTTTAATAAAATTTACACAGAAAGAATTTATATAAATATATTTTTACTACAGTGTTTAACAATTTACAATCTATGATACTCCTTCGGTTTATTTTTTGCTTTAGTGTTTAAGACTTTATATAGGAATAAGAAAATTATTGGAGTTTAAATTTCATAAAAATATTATTGATTTATTTTTTATTATTTTTTCATCTATTTTATTAATTATTTCACTTATTTATTAATATCCCTGTTCTTATAAATAAGAAATAAGTATCATTATTTTTTATCTTAAATATAAAAATATTTTTTTAGATGCATTCATAACTAAATTCTTTCTATACCCTTATTTATTATAAATATTGTGTTAATAAGATATCAAACATTTATCTATGAAAATGAATACATTCATTGATTTTAATATATGAACTTTTTTAATTGCACAAAATAAAAAGTTATACAATAAATTTTTATAAAAAAATGTAGAATTTAATACTATCAATGTGTTAAATAATATTGAATTCTGTAATTTTTAATAAAAAAATTACTATATATAATTTTTTATCCTTTACAATGTTGCATAAGTTGAAAAAAATCCTAAATATATTATAAAAAAAAAGTTTGACAATTTAATACTATAAATATTCTTAGAATAAATTATAAATTTATAGCTTGTAACAACTTTTTTTATTATTCTTGATGAATTAATTATTTATCTCTTATAAATAGAACTAGAAGTAATATCTTCTACAAAATAAACATTAATTACAAAGGGTAAAATTGAAAATAAAACATTAGCAAGTTTTTTCAAATGGATATTGTTGAATTAAAATAATTTTTAATTTAAAAATTTAAAATATATTGCATGAAAATTTTAAATTATTCTAAATTTTATAATTTTTTAAAAAATTATTAATATTTTTTTTATCAAAATAAAAGAATTAAATTAAAGAGATGTACTATTATATAAAAAAAGACCGTGAACATGATAAAATATAAAAATTATTGAATTTATTTATTTCCACTTAGGATAGGGAATTGCAGGCTTTTTTATTTATTTTTTATTATTTTGCAAAAACAAATTATCAAAGTATTGCTTTTTAAAAAAAAACTAATTATCTATCTAGAGTGATTTTATTCATGCATCAAAAGTTTTGTCAATATTACTAGTGAAATTATTTATATATTTTTATCTTAAAATAAGTATTGCCACAAAAAAATGCAAAAAAATTTAAGATCGTACCAAAGTGTCAAAGAAGTACAAGTTTCACTACAAAATTTGTGATACTAGGCAAAGTTTCATTATCAGCATCGGGAAACATGCAGGGGTGTCGACACGTGACATGATTTAGCAAGTTTCACCAATTAAATTGCGATACAGGAAACACAATACTTAACTGTGTGGCTAAAATAGTGGCGGTATTTATGCAAACCTTCTATTATCCTCTAGTTATTTTAATGTAGGTGCATTCTTTTATCCATTTTTTTTCCTATATTTAGAAGATAAATTTTGTATTTGAAAAAAAATGGAAGAATGATTTTGAAAGACTAGTCATACAAGGTTAATTAATTTTTATTTGTAAAAATGCAGGATAAGTGAAATTATTATTATTACATATTGGAATGGTAGAATTTATGGAAAAAAAAAATTAGAGTAAGTTTCGAAAGAAGTGAGAAAGTGATAAAATAAAATGAGAGTTAAGTTTTAAAACATTAAAAAGAAAAATTTATTTAAAATTTAAATCTTAGTCATAATCACATTATTTCTAAATTAATTTCACTTTTTTGACTGACAGTAATGTTTGACAATACACAACTTTAGAGATATATGATGATGAAGATATTAATTGTATAATAAGAACATATCAATAACAAGCTAGTAGAACAGTTATTGAGATATATGTGAATGTCGCTATTGATGAAAGTTTATCAGTTTTATTCTAGATATTAGATTTAAATTTATCACTTTCACATCCAAATGATATAAACCTTGTGAATTATGATTACTAAATTTATTTTAGTAATAAATTTTTTTGTTAGAACTAAAAGTTAAAAATTTGTTGCAATAAAAGAATTAGAGATGATGATGAATATGAAAACTCATATGATGGTGATGATATTGAGGGTGATGTTGAAGAAGAAATTTCATTCCACCATCTTATACTAATGTGGAGAATGATTTTGATTCCAACTTGAATATATCACGTGATTGTGAACAAATGTTAAATATTTCTTTTTTTATTTATTTAATCATGTGAACAAATGTGAATGAGTACAGTAATTTTAGTGTAATGCAGGAAGGGTGAAAATCTTTTTTGGAATGTAATCTCATACTATAAATATATTAATTGGAAACATCTGGATCAAGTGATGACTAAAAAATATTTTAAGAAAGTCAATTCATGACTTGAAGGAGATCTTTTATTTATTAGCTTGTTATTTGAAGCTAAAGAGGATGTCAATAATGTATTAAAATATTACACAACGAAGATACATTAAAGTTATTTGTGGTTGAGTCTAAATTAACAAGTTTGTAAGTGAAATTCTCGAACCACATCTTTGGTTGTCTATGGAGAGTAAGGGTTTCACTAATAAAATGTTCAAACAAGTGAAAATTTACCAGCTGATTTGCATACATGCATCAATATTAGAATTTTTCAAAACTATCAAAAGTTGAATTCAAATTTAATTTGTTCATGCATTCTTAGTAATGAAAATATTTAATATATTATATTTTTTTAACAATATGTTACATAGACAATTAATATTATCTTTAATTAATCACTGGAATTATATGTAAGCATGGTGAATTAAGAATCATCATTGCCTGTTTCATTAATTCAAGCAAGGATAAGTGCTCAGTTTGGATATAAAATTTCATATAAAAAAGCTTAGAAGATAAAGTAAAATGTCATTATAAGTGTGTTTAGTGATTAAGACAAAGTCATATACTTTATTGTCACGCTAGTTAGAATACATGCAATTACATGATTCTAAAATTTTTAATCAAATTGAAACTAAAGAGTACGTGGTCAATCATTGAGTGGATAAAACATGTTATCAGTGTATTACTAATTATCACTAGTTTAAAAACATGACATTGAAGGAAGAACCAATAAAATAAGGTATATTTTATGCTGACCTATGTAAGCCTATATTGGTTTGTTATGAGCGTATTACTAGTGTTCACCAATTTAAAAACATGGCATTAAAGGAAGAGCCAATAAAATAAGGTATATTTTATGTTGACCTATGTAAGCCTATATTGGTTTGTTATGAGTATATTACTAGTGTTCACCGATTTAAAAACATGACATTGAAGAAAGAGCTAATAAAATTAAGCATATTTTGTATTAACTTATGTAAACCTATATTGATTTGTTATGAATATATTACTAATGTTTTATTTACATTTATTATAGGTTATATACACCATTGAAGGTAATATTTAAAGAAAAAGTGATAAGATTTTATTACAAATTATGAGACACTAGCTTATGATGAGGAAGGGCGGATACATGACCTCAAATCTTTAATAAGGTTTAGAAAGATGCTAGAAACTTAGCTATAAATGCTCTTGTAAAAGCCACATATAAATGTTTGGTTGAATATTTTATGAAGCATGAAAAAGAGGTTATATCTAACCTTAATAATGAAAGCATGTTTTATTGTAAAATAATGTTGAAAATTAAAAAAAAAATCAACACAAAGATTTGTTACACCAAATTTGTTAGTATAACATACAAAGAATAAGTTGAGGTTAAAAAAATATTTAATCCAATAACACAAAGGGATAGTTAGGTGATTATGTTATTATTTTATATTTATAACGTGCTCATTTATACTATTTTTTATTGTTTATTTTAAAGACATAAAAAAAGTTAAAACAAAAAGAAACACAAAGTGAATAATATATTATTTTTACCCTAATTTATTATGCTTTCTATTATTAGATTTATCAACACATACGCCATATATTTATTTATGTTTAATGCATAAATTATATATGGTTAGTTAATTTTTTTTGTTAAATTTATGAAGTTTTTTAGTAGTATCTATACATTTAAAAAATTAATTAGTGTAAATATAGATTTTTTAACATATAAATACTATTAATTTAGTAAGTTAATATATGTATGTTAATGCAATATATGTTTTTCTATTAAATAATTTAATATGTTAGTGGATAGGTAATACAAAGAAAATATTATTTATTATTAATAGAAATACAAATATAACTAAAATAGAAATCAATTTAAAAATATACAAAGATATAAATAAAAACTAGAATATAAAATATATATTTTCTTAACAATATATGCAAATATAGAATGAAAAATAAATTTTAACATAAATCAATTTAATTTTTTTTAAAAGGTACTCCTACACTGTCAACAATAATGAAAGAAAAGAAAAATAATATTGTAAAAAGTAAAAGAGAGGAAATAAGTGAGATTTCTCCTATAGTAAGGTTGTAATTTATAAATCAAAGTAAAAAAAATCCGTAATAATATAATGTTAAACATAATGAATTGATGTTTTATACTAGGACATGAAATGTGATACATTCTTGCGTGTAACTTAAGATGGAAGGAATATTCAAAAGTAAAAAAAGAAAAGAAAGTAGGAACTAGAATAAGAGTTTCAAATTTTGAATGAACCCTTAATTATAATCTCTTTATTTTGAAGTTTTCTCTCAATCATGTTAACAAATACTTTTTCTTCTTATAAATTAAAGAAAATAAACTAAGATTTCTAAATTAAAAATAAGAAGCCAAAATTTTTTTCTTGTGTTTTGCATAAACATATTGATAAGTATTTCACATTTTTTAGTTTTCTAACATAGCATCAACTTATGTTATAGCATACGTGTAAAAATTATTTACCATGTGTGATTTTCATACAATATGTTTAACATTCATAAATTATAAATTATTTTCTAACATATAATTTAAAAAGTAATAAATACTAGTAGTTGATAACTTTTGATTTCATTTGTCCTCTAAAATAATTTGGATAAATTTTTTCATTTTTCTTCTTTTCAAGTGTATACTTTGAATATTCTAATAACATTGATATTTTAATATATGAGAACTTATAAATTTTTTAACTCTAATTATTAATCAAATCTCAATTTTTTTTAGTATGAGTTCTCTTATTTAAAAATATAATGCAAAAGTTTATAAATTATAATTTAGAAAAGTTACTAACTTTAATGCTTTTTCAAGAAGCTAAATGGAAGAGGTTGTGCATGTGCATTTCCTTTTAGAAATTGGTATATTGTTCTTAAATTATTAATGAATTTTTTTAACATATAATCAAATAAAATTTTATATGCAAGTTGTTTTATAAATAACTAATGTTCTTTATCTTTTGCAACAATTTATACAATTTTTTAGTTATGAGTATCTTTTCTGTTAATATAGAAAAAAATTAGTTTGATATCCTCGTTATTAAAGGTAACTAGGAAAACAAATAAAGGAGGTTGTGCTTTTAGTTAAGTGTAGCATAGTAACAAGAAAAGCCATTGAAGTGAGAGGAAAGCAAGAAAATAGTTTTAGAAAAACCATATTTCGTTAGTAAGTGAATAAAAAAACAACAAAAAATGCTACCCAACCAATATAAGGGATTCTATGTCAATAGTTACAAATGGCTCTAACAACTTCTTAAAAATTCCTAAACCATTATAATACCTTTTTATAACCTAATACTAACCTCCCAATATATAAATAACTCTTATTCTTAATTTCACAATCACTTTCGGCATTCAATTCACCAATAAAAATCAATACACTTGGAAACCCAAAACAACATGCAAAAAAGAACCTCAAGTATTAAAATGTTAACAATGAAAGCTTTATCTATTCTTCCTATGCCTCATTCATTTCTCAAATCAAATGATGTTGCTCCTATTCCTGCAAAACCTAGCCCAGACTTTGATGAAAAACATGAAACTAATTGTGACAATGGAGAAGAAAGTGACGAAAACCAAGAATTTACTTTTGCAAGCATCAATCTTCAAGGAACACTTGTATTTGCTGATGAGATATTTGACAATGGCCAAATTCGACCAACCTACCATGCTTTTGACCAATCTCTTATTTTCACTGCCTCACACGACAATGAAACTATGCCACTTCGACCCCCACTAAAGAAGGTCTTTGTTAAGCAAGTCAATAGTTTCTCCTCAAACTCAAAAGTACATTACAAAGAGACATTGCAAGAAACAATGGTGGTAGAAGTGGATGCTTTAAGCAATAAGTGTAAGAAGAGTAACTCCACAGGGTTCTCAAAGAAATGGAGATTTAGGAAAAACTTAAACCTTCGAAGCAATAGTGATGGCAAGGATGCTTTTGTTTCATTGAATCCTTCATTGGTAATGCCAATGAGGTCCATTAAGGCAAAGGAGGAAAATGTTGCTTTGAACAACAAAAAGCATGAAAAATCTGAAAAATGCAAAACTTTGTCGGCTCATGAGAAGCTTTATGTGTCGAATAGAAAGCGAAGGGAGAGCACTAAAAAAAAGTCATGCTTGCCTTATAAAAAGGAGTTAATTGGATTCTTTGCCAATATGAACGGATTCAGTAGGAACCTTCATCCCTTTTGACATCTAATTCTTAAATTTTCGTAATTATTTTTTGTTATTTTATCCAAGTATGATAAAACAAAGTTGCTTAGGATACCATTCTTTGTATAATATGTTTTATAACCTAACTTGTTTAGTAGTTACATCAAAATTATAACTTGGAGATATTTTTTTTCTCTTGATGAGTTTGTAATTCTCATGATAATAATAAAATTGTGTGACCTTTAGTTCCATTTTATTTAGTTACCTGAATATTTAATTAGAGTAAAATATGTAATTTACATTATTTATTTATTAAAAATTTCTCACTTAACTTTAAACAAGATAAAGTTAAACAATATAGTTCAATTCCATCTATAACATCATTTTAATTTAGGGAAGGATAAAATTAATAATATCTTCAATGGTAGTGCTTGGCATAAATTGAGAGAGAAAATGTTTGCAATTTTATTTGAATTTTTATGAATAATAAATCCTTTTTTTTTCATAAAAACAAAAATATTTCAACTTAAATAAGTCCAATATTTATAAATATCCGATGTTAGAAGAAAAAAAATAAAACTAGTTAACAATAAATATAATTATCTTTTAGTACTTTAGTTTTAAATCAAAAGATAAATCTAATTAGTAACTAACTAGTTAAAATTGTACATCAACCCTTATAATATATTTGCAAGTCATCTTTTGGGCAAGTGAATGATTGGTGCACATACTCTCTCTTGGGGCTATTCCAACAACTCATCTAAATTTTGAAAATTATTCTAAATGAAATGTGTCTTTCACTTCCTTCCTTTGCAATTCTTTTTTCGTTTTTCCTCTTAAAATTATCAAATTGCAATATCATATATCAAATCCCATAAGTTATTAATGTAATTTCATATTCAAATATGTGAGATAAGGCACACTAATCTTCCACTGTGCCAAAACGATTTGGATGAAACTTAAGACTTGCTTTTCATACAAATCTTTTCCTGTTTTTCTACCAATGATTAGCAAATAACAATAACAAATCTCGTAAGTTATGATAATTAAAATTACATATTTCATAAATTATAAAAGCACCTTTACAATAATTATTAGTTAGATTAAACAATTCATTCTTAAAATAAGTCATGCTAATAACAAATTTAAAGAATTCTAATTTACTCACAATTAATAATTAAATGAAACCGATAATCATTACAATGATTAATTTCATTTACCTAATTAAATGATACTTTCTTCATTTTAATTATTTAAACTTCCTAATTATTAAAATTCATTTAATTTATACAACTAAGAGTTAACATTCCAATAATAAATAATTATGAATTTTATTTAATCTTTCCAAATTTTCATATTAATTTTTTTTCAAAATTTTTATTTAAAGGAAAAATTAACAAAAAATTTAATTTAAATTGCCTAAAATTAACATATAACTAATAACAAATGCCTTTTTTTTTTCACTTTCAGAATGTGGAAATTATATTTCCTAACACCTAATATTTACATAAAACTTTAATAAATTCTAAAACTTAAATTACATAATATTTAACATTTAACTATTAACAAATTATAATAACTATTTTACCTTTCAAAAATTTTAATTTATATTTACTAATAATTAAATTTAAAATTAATCATTAATAAATTATTTATTTTAAAGTACATGTTAATCAAATTAAGTGTATCAATTATTTTAGCTTTCAAATTTTTTATATTTTATTCACTATCAATTAATAATTATATTCAACAATTAATTATTAAATTATTTTATTTTATTAACCTAATAATTAACATATATATATATATATATATATATATATATACACTATATTTATTTAATTTACTAATTATTATTAGTTTAAATTTAACAAGTGATAAATCTAACAATAAATTAAAATTTATAAAAACAAATCATAATTACAACCTATATATGTTTCTCACTAACCTCATAGTTGTAGATAGAGATATTCAAAAAATATAATTTTATATGTCTAATCCATAATTAATATTAAATTAATTTTAAAAATCTAGATCTATATTAAACTAATTTTTTTATTAACTATATTTATATAATTAGTTTAATATCTAAATCTACTTTCTAAAATCAGATTTTTTTTTATTTATCCAAATTCATATATATAAAACTACTATCTTATATTTTTATTTATTAAATTTTCATGTTATATTAGTTTATAAAATTTTATTGTAACTAAACTTTATCACTAATATTTTTTTTAAAATCTTAATTCTTATAATTAAAATTAAATATTTAAAATAATTAAAGATATTAAAATATAATACATATTTTTAAATTAATTACTAATGTTATTTTTATATTTATGTTTATTTTTTAATTTTTAAAATATTATAAGATAATAATTTTATTATTATTTATATTATTAATTTTTATTTTTATAGATTTTATTTTAAACTTTCATTATAAAATCTGTTTATTAAAAGTAAGTTAAAAAAAATAATAAATATTTTATATAATTCTATAAAATATAATATATTAATAAATATTATTAAATTTTTTTTGAAATACACTAATTTAATGCAACGTTTATAATAAATTAGTTTTATCTTAAAAAAAAATTCACAAATGTATTAAAAATTAGTTTTGCATTAAAAAAATTAAATTAAAAACTAATTTAACGTTAAATTAAATTTAAAACTGATTTTAAATTAAATTTAAATTTTAAAACTATTTTTGAACCGATTAAAATAATAAAATAAAATACTTTAAAATTTAATTCATATAATTAATTTATGTGATGGATAGATGATAAAAAGTAGAATATATCTAAATATTTATTACTTTAATAAAATATAAAAATATAAAATATTATTAATAAATTAAAATATATACAAATATTCTCTTAACATGTATTGTTAATTTCCTTTAGAGATGTAATGGGTTAGAGTACCTCTTATATTTGTATTTTATCTTTAATAAATGTTGATACTTAACATACATATATATATATATATATATATATATGCAAATATAATTTTATATTATTTATTATAAATTTAAATATTTTTTAATATAATAATTTAATAGTAATATAAAAATTATTTATAGTATATTTTTACCGTATGTAAAAATGATTTAAAATTGGTTTGAAACTAAATCTAAATTTTAAAACTAAATTTAAATTAATTTTAAAAAAATTAAAATAAATTAATTTATAATCTAATCCATATAATTAGATTTTAAATTAATCTAAATTAATTTTTTAGAAATCCAATTCATGAACATCACTAGTTGTACATACCCAATGAAAAACCTACACAAAATTGCAATATTTTCTCAACACCTAAAAACAAACAATTTTTTATTAACATTCAAAAATCTAAAATAATAAAAAATAAATTAATTTTTGTACAAAAATATATTACATATATTTCAAAAATATTTATCTGCACAGAAAATTAATATTAGAAAGCTAGAATGGACTGTAAGAAACAAAAGGAGGAGATAATACGAAGAGTGAAAAGTGAAGGATAAAAGAAAAAATAGTCTCACATTAATCATTATAGATTTAGCCATACATCGCCATCAAACTTGTATCCTTTATAGCCATATCAGTATAAATACAAGGATATAGGTAAAAAATTAAGAAATTGTAACTTAAACAATTGTTAAGGTCTAAGTGAAAAAAAATAAATCTCTAAAATTGTCAATAGGGGAAAAGAATTTGGCCCAATTTAGGCCCAAATTAAAAATTAATTCACCCAATTCAAAGACTATTTAAACGACAGGCCCAATAAGTAGAATCAGCCCATATTTAACAAGCAACGATTTGCATTAATTCCAATTAAACAGTTCCACGAACAAGTTTGTTTATTTGATCGAGAAAAAATAACCTGTTTGATCTTGTTCTTGCTTTTTTGGATAAATAAAAGAGAGAACAGATTGTTGTAACCCACAAAGTGATAATTCAATAACTGGTTAAAAACAAACGGAAAATGGAAAGGGCTTTAGAGAAAACAGTTCATAGAGCAAGGGACATGGATGCATTAGCAAGGTGCAGTTGAGTAAGAGCAATGCATCACAACTTACAACGTTAAACTTAAAATCAATTTAAAAATATTAATGTTAATAAAATCACAAAAAATGTCATAAGGAGAGGTATTTTTCTAATAGAAGTATATTTAATGAATTTTTGAAGAGGTTGATCGCGCATATTCTTGAAGCCAAAAAGGGTTTGACCTTTCCTTAATAGCCAAAGATTATCATTTTGATAATCTTATCAAAACTTTAAACAGCATACTTTAGAAAATTTTATTTTAAAAGGTCATTCAGGTGGTCCATTTATATTCATGATGCTAGTAAACGTTGGTATTCCCATAATATTATAGCATATCTTTGAATTCTGCTTCGAGAGTCATGTATCTCTTTAGTTTAGTGTTTGAAAAGATGAAGGATGCTCCCCACTTTTTGTTTTCTTATTCTACTTCACATACCCATAAGCAAGCTTTGATTACTTGTTTGGTAAAGTGAGATCCAAAGCTCAAATTATATTGCAATAGTACAACCAAATAGAAAAAGATACCGCAAAATCACAATCAAAATTGTAAAAGAAGATGCCAAATCTTGAGTGAGCTAATAAAATACCACTATTAGGTGGATTCCTATTATTTTCTTTTAAGGCCCTTTACAAAAGCCAGCTAGTGATTGTTGCAATATATAGCACAAAAGTCCATGATTCTTTGAATATTTGAACCTCCTTCAATTCTTAATCGGATCCAATCTAAACAATTTATTTGGTTGGAGAATAATATGCGTTCAATATAGCGAATTTTAAAGTATATGAAAATGTTGTAATGCTAAACAATAAAGTTTGAACTTAGTAATAAACAAGCTGTGGTTTTAGACAATAGTATACTTTAATCTCAATAACGTGTTATTGAAAAGCTTTTGGATTAATCTCACAAGTAAAAATGATTCATTTACTACGAATCCTAAAAGTATTACCAATCATCTTTAATTAACAAGAGATAAAGTTATTTGTTGATAGAAAATTAAAAGA